ATAATAAAGCATGTTTTGAGGCAGCCATAAGCGTAATAGATTAGATTAGTTCTGGTTCTAGAACTCCAATAATTTGAGGTGGCTATTAGGATTGAAGAATAAAACCAGCTCATATAATGAAGAGCAGTGTTATCCTTTTGTATGTGAAGTCTTTAAATCAACTTGTTATGCCCGGAGCAAGGTGTTCTACTTTCGTTCAGGAAGTGGACAGTTTTATACCTTTTATCAATTACTTCCCCTTCAACTTATGAGAACAATTTCACAATCAAGTTTACAAATTGTGTGTCACTAATTGATCATAGTCACATGCTTCACTGGCTTTCACAGATCTGCCTTTGACGCATTTCCTCATATCTGCTTCGGCTTTGCACTGCAGGCATATCTTATTTGTTCGCCTAACCTGCAATTGAAAATGATGAGCACTGAGAATAACTAGCAATTTTGAGTCTGGATTTAACAAAAATTTAGTATCTACCAAATAGACGTTCGTTTTTTTCTCTTTTTCATTCATTGTATCTCATCTCTGTTTTGTCCCGTGCTTGTGGGCAACTAGTTTCCAGATTTGATTCCCTGATTCCCAGGGTGATTCAGCAGTTAAAAATACCAATGGCAATCCAGAGTCCTGAAAATCAGGAGAACTACTCTCCCCAATGATGTTGGACAGTGATAATGACATGTTTGAAGGAACTTAACCAGTAGGAAATCCCCGGATTAATGTTTCTGCTGCAACATGGATTCATGAGTATGCAATTGGAGCTGCCAGCCATGGCCAGCATTAAACTAGCTGACGCACCAACTCTAGGGAGGATGGAGAAGCCAAATAATCTTGCTGTCCTGACAAAGATGCATGATAAGTTACACAACAGAAGTGATTTAAGGAATCAAATCTTGAAATGGTTTGAAGAACAGCTCGCAGTCATGCAATTAATTCTTTGTAAGACAATAAATTTAATATGAGGAAATGGAAGATTAAAAGATATAAAATCAAAGATCTAAAGGAGATGGATCTATAAGAAAAACCTTTAAATTAAATTTAGAGTAAAACCTCTAATGCATTCTCAATAGGACCATTAAATTGGGTAATTGATAAAATTTTCTCCATTAATAGGCAGTCTGTCCCAATATTCTCAAGCCAGTATCTGGGATTACCTTGCAAGCAGCCAAATTTTTGCTCACAAGTTCCGAAGTTTAATGGCAGTCAATGCTGAGACCTTCACAAATACCATCATCATCATCATCATCATCATCAAGAAGTTTAAGATCTTTGAAGTTAGAACAATCCTGCAGCAAATAAAGAAAAAGATGAACGCCTTGGTTAGATCTAAAGGCCACGGTCGTTTCATACTTTAATTCTTACACTGAATGTTAAGTATTTCAAAAAATTATCAAAAAAGAATAGTTATTAACTTTGGTACATTGGCCTCTTCTGGGAAAGAAGGCACTTGATCTTCATAACAGGGCATGTAATCTGAATGTGGTGGAATCACAGACGAAGACCCCATCCGAGTCTTGAGCTTGGGACAGGAATCTAGATCATTAACTTAGTTGCCCGCAAACCAAATGATCCACTATTTTCCCTTTGCTCTGATCCATTGGCAATGCAATTCGCATTTCTGGGCATAGCATCAAAGCTATCCACACTAGAAGCTTCAAGAATCGAAGACCAGAAACTTGTAAACTTAGCTGTAGAAGGACAACCTGTATAACAATTCAATGTTTTCTGCGTATGCCCCAAACTTAAGCAACCATTGCCATTCCAATCGCAACCTTGACAAAGAGACAATTTTGCATCCATGCGGCAGACTATTGCAGACTAAGCATTGCATAAAAGAAAACAAGCATGCCGGTAAGAAAATAAATTTACAGAATGCACACATCCAACACACAATTCAGGCAAAGCCTGGCTAAATGTGATTTGCAGTAAACTACTGCCCTTACAAGTTACTTCTCCACAAAAACTCACAAAGGGGTTTCATACTTCCCTTCTCTCTTATTATTACTTACAATTCCTCCTACCTACGCAACAGCAAAACATAAAGCTAAAGGCGAGAACTTGACCTCAAGGATTCAATCCTCAGAACAACACATCCTAACCATTTCAAAACAACATTTTCAATAAGCAAAAACCCAGTAAGCTCAACATAATGTGAGTTCTTTGTGGCATTTCTAAGAACATTAGACACGAAAGTTCTTAACTTTATTTTTTACTTTTAATTCCTTCGAAAAGCAAAGTACATGACATCCTTCTATTTCCCTCGTCTGCCACATGTTTTCATTTAACCAAACAGACCCTTACGGGGTGTTTGGTTTACTTTTCGGTGAAATGTCCCTCCTCC